ACGAAAAAAACACTTTATTATTGTGAAGTTTTTTTTTTTTTTTGAAGAAAAAAATAATGTCAAAAGCCACTGCTGTCAAAATGATCTCTTATTACCTAAAATGCACTGTTAGTCATATTGGTAAAGGGGGGTTTATTGGGGATCACTGAATATGCAACCTCAGGGCTTGAAAGAGGAATATCAAAGTCATGCGATACGATGCGGCATTCGCTAATTTCTGCATCTCAAAAACCGGATATTTGAGATAGTCCTTTCATGCACCTGTAATGACCGTGACATGCTCATAGATGGAGACAGGAGAGGGATGAATCTCAGGGGAAACAGAGAGGTTACGGCACTGAGTTATGGGTATATTGACATGCGACTTGACAACCGTGTGCTAAATAGACCCTCGTTTGGCCCACAGGGTGAGATAGTCCCTTGGGATGAGGGGATGTAGAGACTGGGAACAAAGCGCTCAGGAACAGACAGAGCCGTCTATAGAATTCTGAGCGAGTGCCTTAGGATGTGTGCAACAGGACCAAGTGTGGGAAAGTCCACGGAGGAGATCCCTGCTCTCTCAAAACTCAGTTTAATGCAGTTACGACACTGCAGCTTAAACTGGACATTTTCCAAACATGTTTTGAGAATATGTTAGTATATACTGATTGCTGATTATGATGATGATGCATATTCATGTTCAGTGTCTCTTTGAAAACTCAGAGAATGATCATACCTACCTGTTTCTCATCCATGGTTATATACCCGCCCATTCTTGAACAGCAGCAGTGAGTGGAATGATGCAGTGTGCTGGAAATGGGCGTGTCCTCGCGATGTAGTACACGCCCACCTACAGTAACCGTATTCTGCACTAGCCACATGAAAAATAATTTTGATGTGAGCTAATCGTCGCAGAAACATGACATGAAATCATTTTAAGTAAATCTGACAAAAAACATTATAAATATTGTATCCAGACGATTACATTTATTAACTGTAATATTTATGATTATGAAATCCAATAAAAATACGTTTATAAATTACATTTGGTGTAAAACTGCAACACTAAAAGAAAAAACACTACATAGTCTACCAAAATGCCCTTGCTGTGAAAAATATATTGTTTTTAATTTTACTCCGATTCTATTCAGTCTGACTGACTTTTAAATGTTACTTTCATTCTAATATACTCATATTATATGTTATATGAAGAGTCCACGGAGGAGATCCCTGCTCTCTCAAAACTCACTGTATACTGCAGTTACGACACTGCAGCTTAAACTGGACATTTTCCAAACATGTTTTGAGAATATGTTAGTATATACTGATTGCTGATTATGATGATGATGCATATTCATTTAAAAATGTTTCATTTTTGTTAAACTTTAAACATTGTCAGTTGCCTGTTTCATTAGGTGATCATTATTGAGATCAAATTTTCACCTGAAAGAGGTTTATGTTGTCATAAACACTGTGATTCTGCTAAATTAAGCATGTTTATTATACATTCTAAGAAGTAAATAGTACACAGCCTGCTGATGCTAAATTTGAGCTCACACTTGATCTTCAGAGGATGGACGCTGCCCTCTAGTGGAAAACTACTGAGTTAAAATCTATGCATTACAAGGCATTTCTTTATTTGATCAAGGGAAAAAAGGGTTCCTCTTCAATGTTTAGATAAAATTAAGCCTTCACTATGAACTATTTTAGAGGTTCTACTTTAAAAGCAAATTATGTTGGAAATAAGAAGCAAAGTTTTAAAAAATCTGATGCTATGAAACAAGCAAAGAGAGAAACAAAAAGGGTGAAAAACTCCAACTTTAACAAAAACACAAAGGAATAGTTCACCCAAAAATGAAAATTTGCTGAATATTTACTCAGCCTCAGGTCATCCAAGATGTAGATGAATTTGGTTCTTCATTGGAACAGATTTGGAGAAATTTAGCATTACATCATTTGCTCATCAATGGATCCTCTGAAGTGAATGGGTGCCGTCAGAATGAGAGTCCAAACAGCTGATAAAACATCACAATAATCCACAAGTAATCCACACCACTCCAGTCCATCAGTTAATAACTTGTGAAGTGAAATGCTGTGTGTAAGAAACAAATCCATCATGACATTTTTATCTACAGGTGCATCTCAATAAATTAGAAGTCGTGGAAAAGTTAATTTATTTCAGTAATTCAACTCAAATTGTGAAACTCGTGTATTAAATAAATTCAATGCACACAGACTGAGGTAGTTTAAGTCTTTGGTTCTTTTAATTGTGATGATTTTGGCTCACATTTAACAAAAACCCACCAATTCAC